TTTTTTTTTTTTTTTTTTTTTGGTACTGGGGATTGAATCCAGGGGTGTTCAACCACTGAGCCAGATCCCCAGCCTTTTTAAAAATATTTTATCTAGAGATAGGGTCTCTCTGAGTTGCTTAGGGCCTCACCAAGTTGCTTCCCAAACTGCTGGGATTACAGGAGTGCACTACCATGCCAGCAATATTGAAATTTAAAAGAGTACTATAATAATCTTTTTGAATTATCATGAATGTTCTTTTTGATGCCACATCGAAAATTCAAGTTGTAACATGGAACTTGAAATACCATCAATTAACTTTTTGTACCATTACATTGAAGTAACACTCTGAATGGTTCCTTTATTCTTACATGATTCTGTAAACATCATGCATTGGCCACTTAGAAAAAAAAAAATCAGTATTAATTTTATTAATTTTGGTTATCTTCCAACTGGCATTTTATTCTACAATATTAAAAGATCATATTTAATATCATCATTGTTCTCATCAGAAAAATAGTTAATTATTAGGAAGCTGACAATTTCAGGGTAAAAAAAAAAAAAACTCTTTCACCAGAAAACTCAAAACTGATCATTGAAGACATATACTGTCAGTTGCTTTCTTTGAAATGACAGGCTCAGTTACTCATTTTTCAGAATATATCTGTTAAACACTCAAGTTGAATAACTGCAATTTGTCAGCTATTATTTCAAATAAAAATGGTCTCCATGAAAAAGCTGGTTGCAAACTGGTTCAGCTTGCAACTCAAATTGTACATGAGCGCTTCTTAGAGATACCATAATTTCAGTATGTAATAGATGTGCTTTACAAGTGTTTTCCATTTTGTCAACAAAATATTGAAGAAATGTGTACTATGGGTCAGGATTTAACAAAACAACAAATGTTGTTGCTTCACTAAGGGAATACTTGAATGAAACTGACTCCCTCTGCTCTTCTACAGGTGTGTAGCCTTGAAAAATACAACTACTAGAACAATTTGATGCTCCTGTGATGATTTATACTTAGATAACAGCAGTTTTACCAAACATATTTTTACTACATCAGTGCAAATGGTAATATATCTAAAAAGCATACAGAATGTCTTAGTATTACCATGAAAGTAACTTTTGGCTTTAAAAGCCCCCTGAAAAGTCTCAAAGATCCTCTAGGGTCTGCCGTCCACAGTGAGAAATACTAATTTAGATTCATAAATTAAAAGTAAGTAAGAGAAACAGTGAGAGCAACTGACCATTTCTAAGCTGGCATCATCATTCCATCTTCAGGATGCCACATGAGAAAGACAACACTGTGGCATTTTACTACCTCCCTTTTCTGACAGGACCTATGGAAGAAAACTGACTCACTCCTTTTAAAGGAAAAAATGGTATGGCAGACATAATCTTTACAGATTAGCAACATTTTCACAGCAGGAAAAGTAGCATATGCTAAATCAATCTCTGAAAAAGTACTTTATGTCTTTGTTGTTGAACAAAGACAAAGCCTCTTATTCCACAAAGGTATTATCAGTTAAGTCAAAGATGAAAACAAAAGCTCTCAGTGTTTTGTTTTTTTTTTTTTAAGTGACTGGATAAAAACATAAATGATTGCTGTTGCTATATATTTTAGAARTGTATCTAGAATACAATGTGGGATCTATTCAATATCATACATGCCAAAACAAAACAAAACAAAATAAAATAACAAAAAATAAGTTATGATAAAAGAATATTTACTTTTGGTTTTTGTTTGTTTCATTTGGCATATGAGTGTTATCAGTGATATCTGTGAAGCACCCATAGAAGACACCAGAAAATGTTAAAGCTGACATCATATGGAAAATGCCAATGATAGACTAATAAGCCAAACTTGAAGACAATCCAGATATTATGCCTTTTGAATCTAGATTTTCAACAAAGAGTTATCAGCTGATATTTGTTAACAAGTTAGCAAACCACACAGATAACACTTGGTAAGCTAAGATAAAGTTTTAAAATATCATAAGGATGCAGATCTATTTTCAGATACATACAGAAGTGGAAAAGCACAACTTATAAAGCTAAAGAACTTATAAAGCTAAGAAACACATATTTATTACTGCTAATATATAACACCTTTTGTTTTCCTAAGTATTATCTATAAACCCTTAATTGTTAACTGGCAGCAATGGCTATATAATTACCTAAGGAGGAAAAAAAAAAAACCTTCACAAATACTGAAGCAAAGCGTAGTAACCCATGATTTGGTTGGAATGGAATTATGAAAATAGTTAGCAACAGAATATCTATACAACTTCCAAATGGAGAACTGCAATTAGATAAGCCACCTTTTTATTTATTGTTTTTTATTTTGGGGGAGGCTTACCGGGGATTGAACTCAGGGGCATGTGGTTACTGAGCCACATCCACAGCCMTATTTTAGAGACAAGATCTCACTGAGTTGCTTAGTGCCTCACTTTTGCTGAGGCTGGCTTTGAACTCATGATCTTCCTGCCTCAGCCTCCTAAGCAGCTGGGATTACAGGCATGTGCCACTGTGCCCAGCACACATTATTAAGTGATACAAATATGGATAGATTATAAAATAAATGCTGAGGTAGATAAACTTAGGAGGCTGCAATCTAAATGGACTACTTCTATAAGTCTAAAGATGGTTAAAAAAAGAAATGCTGAGGTAGACAGACCTAGGAGGTTGCATCTAAATGGAATACTTCTACAAGTCTAAACATTAAGATCTTTTGGTTAAAAACAGGCTGGCATATTGAGATAGCTAGTAGCAGTCAAGCGTTGGAGAGCCTAAGTCCCTGGTCAATCTTTGGCCCTCCGATACACAAAGCAATCATCAAAAATACATATTTAGGTAAATTAATGATTGGAAACCTCTAAACATGATTTTCCCATTCTACTCAATTGTTAGATCAAGAGAGATAACTACTCATAGGTATGTAACTGAGCACTACACAAAAGGAAAAAGATAATTCATAGATTCAGGGTATTTTTACATGTTCACCCCTACTGTTCAACAGGTTATATATTTACATCTTAAATTTATCAGACTTAAATAGTCTATAGGTTATAAAAAGGTGCATAGTGGGGCTGAATTTTTCTTTTTTAAAAATTATTGGCACTTTCACTCAGATACATTAATGCAATGTATTCTAGTACTACACACTTCTCACAGACTGACTAGATACACAATCTTTTCCCTCATCATGGAAAAGTCTTCATGGAGTTTTAAATCCAGGATCCATAGATGAACAACAGATGAAACATGGATTGTCTACAGTTATATACACATTTATTTGGGGAGTTTATGCATGTACTCCTGAAAAAYAGGTCCACAGTTTTCATAAGATTATCAAAGTGGTCCAGGACCACCTAAAAATGTTTAGGAACCCTAATGTAGAAAACTCCTTCATTTGCCAGAAGAATAATGAGATTTATCTCTAAGGTTCTAAAAGACTAAAGATAGGATAGTTCTAGAAGAAATTGGGAAAAAAACCTTCAGTTAACATATTTTTGCCACAAACTCCAGATACTATAATAAGATTTCATTCTATTTTTAACAGTTCAGACTGAAAGGACTTCAATTTTCCTATTGAATCTGCAACTGATAATGTCTGCTTCAGTGTGAGCAATAATAAAAATGATTATCAATTGCTATATGAAAATCACCTGATGACTCATAACAGGGAGCTTCCATTGTTAAAACAGTCTTAAACAGTGCCACCAAGCACTTTCAATTAGAGTTGATAGCTTCTTCTTTTTTTTTTTTTTTGGTAATGAGAATTGAACCCAGAGGCTGACTCAACCACTGAGCCTCATCCCCCACCTCCCCAACCTCACTTTAAAAAAAAAAAATTTGAGACAGGGTCTCACTAAGTCGCTGAGGCTGGTTTTGAACTCGTGATCCTCCTGTCTCAGCCTCCTCAGCTGCTGGGGTTATGAGCCAAAATCAATTACCTGATAAAATCAGAAAGTTGGACTGTTTTACCACACAAGCCATCAAAAGGTTTTGACAGTCCAATGGGACTATGTAGTAGCCTATCTTCTAGGTACTTGAAGTTTGCATCCTCATTTTAAAGGATACAGAAATACTGTAACCATCTCAATAAGCTACTTCTCTACCCTGGCATACCTGAAGATTTTGCAGAAGATACCAAATTCTAAATAGGATAATCTCTTCAAACTCAAATTAGTGTCACAGATCTCTCCAGAAAAGAAATTTATTAATAATCACATTCCTGAAAAGGGACACGTTCACACATTCAGTTTTGGACAGAACTACATATTCTGAATACATGCTTTCAATGCAATGTAAACTAAATAAATCGCCAAAGTTGAAAGGTTACTTGCTATAGGGTCCTCCACTTCCTCCATAATCATAGGACGGCTGAGATTGGTCATCGATGCTGTAACTTGTCTGGTAGAATTCCGTGTTTAAGTTCTCAAAGCCTGACATTGCAAATGATCTGAAATAGAAGAGAAAAAGCATGCCCAAGGCTCTATTGAAATCATTCATGGCACTTTGCTTAAGCAAACAGTCAGAAGACAGTAAACATTTATTCCCCAGTAATTGTGGAAAGCAGCATTTGGAAGGTGGTCGGGGAAAAGGAGTATGAAAATATCTAGTTTCTAAGTCGAGGCCGTGGAAGACACTTCTATCTTAAGGAGCTGATAAGCTTTTGGTAGGGGCGAGGTCGTGGGAGGGGTGACTCCACAAGGATCTACAAGATCAGTTAAAAAAGATGATTCCTCAGAGGCGTACAGCTGACAATACGGCAGTCWCCTTGAAACCAAGGCTCAAGGCCCGTCAGCAAAGTGCAGAATCCTAGAAGGTCGCGCCTAAGGTGCTGAGACCACGGCAGAAGGAGTTGAAAAGAGAGTAAGGGTCTAGAGAAAAGCGCCGAAAGAGGGCAACAAGCCGAGCMGCACTACTATCGGGAGAAGCCAAAGAGTGTGCCACAGACCAGGGACACTCACCAAATGCGGGGTCGGCAGCGGCGGAAGCAGTTGTACCTCCAGCGGCCCCAAATAACCCCCAACTCAGTTCCAGACCCTGTAGTAGCCCCGTTGCTACGTGTCACAGGGCCAAAAAACTGCTTCCGGGGCACGCCCGCTMGCGCAGGCGTGTTGGCAGGTTTATATTCGGGTTGGAGTCCGGGTCGCGGCGGAGGGGGCGGTGCTAGATATAGAGCAWGCGCAACGTCTTGACGGGCCAATGGGAAGAGGGAAAGTACTTCTGGCACCTGGTGAACGGCGGAGKAAGAAGGCGCAGGCGCAGCAATTGCTGATTACTTGGTGGGAGGAGGCAGTATTCCTCCCTTGTCCCGGAGCTAGGAGAACGGACGGGAAGCCGCGAGATGAAACCTAGGGATTCCCTTTCCTGTGCACTAGCTACAGAGCCGCGGTCTCTCTGGAAGTACAGTGATTCAGGCGCGGTACTAACAGTTTAAAGTATTTAATTTTTGCAACCTAATGAGATGGTTACCCTCTTACTTTACTTTTTGAGTGTTCATTTTGTGCTACCTACTGGRAATACAATAGTGACTATTAGATTTATGGTAACCGTCCCTCTGGGCGAGAGGGCTAATTAAGCACATACAAATAAGTTGTTATTGATATTTTTAATGTCTTATAATTTTTCGAAAGGTGTAATATTCATTTGGGGGGGAAAAAGAGCCTTAACAGCCGCTTAGAAAGGGTGATGATCAAAAGGTTGTTAACTTGAGAGGGAAAAAGAGGGAAGGATAATGGCGGAGGATGGAAGGAGAGCTTGAGTGTTGCAGGCAGAGAGAATAGCATGTGCAAAGCCCGGAATGAGGAAAAGCATGGTGTGAGGAAARGTGTAAATCAGGCTTTCTGAGCCTTTGCACTACTGTCATTTTGGTTTAGACGGTTCTTTCTAGGGGCGRGTAGTGCCCTGTGCATTGTAAGATGTTTGGGAGCATTCTGACCTCTATCCACTAGATTTCCAGTAGTACCCCTTCCCCTGAGTTGTGACTAAAATGGCTTCAGACATTTCCTAGAATCACAATTTCCAGTCACTTTTCCCAAGGTGGTGGAATCTTGAATACTGTCACTTTAATACCATGCTATTAACCAATAAGCAGAACCGTCTTTGAGGGTTCAGTACTTAAATTTATATAGTGAGCCTTTTCATTATATACTGGGATCAAAATACTGTGGTCCTCAGAAAAGAAGCCAGACCATTGCTCTGGGACCAATTTCCAAAGGAATAATAAAATTTCACTGGTTGAAACTTTTCTCTGGGCACACATAAACACTTCAAAATAAAACAAGTGCAAAACAAACATTATGCTTCAAACTAAAGTAGTAACAGCAAAAGAACATAGCGTCCAAACCAAAAAAACCAAGTATACCATAGAGTACAATAAACAGCTAGCCACCTTTACAAGTTCCAGCTCCATCAGCGTGAATTTCTGAAATTGCTCATCAAACTGTTTAATTTACCACTGTTTGCCAATCACTTTAGCATTTATTGATGTAGGTATCTTCTGCATAACTTTAGATAGAAAGAACATATATTATGATTTGTCTCATTGTCTCATTTTATGCCAGTTTCCCCCCCCCAACATTATTAATAGTGTCCCCTTTTTATTCTCAAGAATATCTATTCTTGGTTCACAAATTATATGGTTATGCTCTTTAAGCTACTTTATCCATGAAGCTAAGTTTCTGTTTATTAACAATATGCAATAATCCATCACTTAGTGATCTTATGGTTGAAAAAATTCTAATCTCATCTGATATTTCTATTTCTTCCAGTTCAAAAGAGGTGTACCACTCTCAAATTTTAATGAAATAGAAGAATATGAACAATAAATGTCTGCTTAGGAATGAATTGTTGAGCATAAATTTTATTCAAATTCTGCTTTTGTATRTGAAAGCAATTACCATATTTGTTTAAATGTCTTCTCCTCCAACTTCTGCCCCAACTGAGAAACCAAGTAAGAAAACTGAGTTACSTGATTAAATTTTCCATATTATTTGACTTTGAAACATAAGCCAAGGTATCTTGCAGAAGTTCCTTGGAGATTTTGAGAGGATCGATTAATTTCATGGCTAGACATATGGGTCTTTCTTTTTGGAAAAAAAATTTTGAAGTTGCTTTCCCTTTCTGGGATAGKCTCCAGAGAGTTATAGGAAACTGGTAAATGTGCTGTCCTCTGTTAAAGTCATCAAGCTGACTTATTTACCAGTAGAAAGCCTTAGCCAGGTCACAAGATGGARCATGAAATGGGCTCTGGGACAGCTGCTTTCTCCTGCTATGGGATACAAGGTACCAATCACCAAACTTGTAACAAAAATGGAAAAGACATTCTAATCATGAATAACATTTTAATTTGGTTGACAGTCATACTAGTGTAATACTAATATAAGTACTTCACAAGCACACATAAAATAACTTTGTTTTCTTAGAATAGCAGCAAAATTGTTTGTCAGTATTTTAGAACTACCTTCTTTACCTTTGTTTTATAGTAATTATGTCATGTGCTAGAAAAGATAGTTTGAACATGGGAAGTTTGCTCCTATTATTCAATGATATCCCCGAACACCACTTGAGATGGAGATTTGGCATTTGTACCTGTATCATATCAAGTTCCATAATGAAACTTGATAACAGTAAAAGCCAGTATAATTGCCCAATATCTTTTTTCACTATTTCCACATATCCCAAATATGACTACTGTTTTCCCCAAATCATTGTTTATCTCTTAAAAAGAGTTCCCTCATTCAATCCCCTGTATTAGAGCTGTTATTCAAATTCTGCTTCTGTTATTTTAATTATTTTACAGTAAATTGTTGTTTGGGYAAGATAGATTTTCCTGTAATGATACAGAATACTTTTGGATAGAACTATTTTTCAGATGTCAAAAGAAATTTAATGCTGATTTAATAATTATTTTTGGAACTTTGATATTGCAAGTGCTGTTGTTTAACAAAAGCCTTTAAAGATAATTTTTAAAACAATTCTGTAAATATTTTCATTGTATAGATCATAAATACTCTCTTAATAACGAAAACATTTCTAATCTTAGATAAACATATATTGTGGTTTGTGATAAGAATTTCAGTGACAGCATTGGAAGTCCTAGGGGTCTCCAGCTACTTAGACAGAAAGAGAGGTAATGTAAAAGAACTAGCATCAGACAACCTGTACTGGTCCCTAGTGATGGCAAAGCCACTGGTGCACAGTGAAGGTAAAAATGAAGCATTTGTACATTGTGAAGTTAATAACTACACATACTGTGTGCCAGGCTCTACTCCAAGCAATTTGCAACATTTAACTCAAATAGCCCTTCTACAACCCAGTGAGGTAGGTACTGTGTAACTCCAGTTTGACACAGGAAACTGTGAAGATGGTAGGTAATTTGTCAAGCAGCATTAGGCTAGGAAATACTAAACCAGACATTTTTACTCATACAATCTGGGCCTTGAGTCCCTGTGCTAAACCACTGGGCAGCCTTGTTATTGTGTTATAATGTGAAGGTGGGAAAGGCATTAATTCTAATTAATATACTACTTAATCTGATGTGTGGTTATGTGTATTTTTATATGTATATAAGTTAAAATTGCTATTAGATATTTGACATTTGCATCTAAATTCCCATGTGTATATGTTCAAGTTTATAAAAATATATTTTATAATCTTTTCGCTGAGGAAATGGTGGATCAAWTTATGTTTAAGTTCACCTTTTATTAGTCCTGATTTTAATTAATATTGCATAGTGTTTAAGTATGCAAGCACTGGAGCTGTGTGGATTTATATCCTTTAGCACTTATTAGCCATGGATCTTTGGTAATTTACTTAAACTCCTTGTGCTTCAATTTTATTATCCATAAAAACAAGATAGTGGCAGTATTCTTCTTGTAAAGTTGGTAGGAGAATTATATGAGATAATGCAKGTAAATGTTATTGTCTAAGTACTAAATAAATGTTTGCAGTTGTTATTATTGCTGTAGTATCATATAGCTATAGAAACAATATGATTTCATCAGGAATAAAAATGGAATTTTGAAAATTTATAAGGATTAGGTTTGAACAAACTACTTCTAATATCAATTACACATATTTACTGTTTCTTCTCCTGCATATTCTGTATTGCTTTGTAATTTCTTTTTTGATACTGTAAATTTTATTAAAAATATACTTTTTTTTACCCTCTGTGCAAAATTTGCCATAGTTGACTTGTTTGCATTGTCARTTTTGCTGTCATAATTTTTTATATCAAACACTATTGTTTTAAGAACTACCCATATATTAGAATAATTGTATTTGAAAACTGTGAACAGTGCCATTTATATTTGATGTTCTTGATGTGTTTTGTGGTATTTCGAACACTAAAGAAAATATTTTCTTGTTTCTTCTTATTCTCTCTCTTCTTTTCCTCTAACACAAGGAATTTATCAGGAGACAGTAAATAAGATGAATTATGTTATGAAAGAYGTTTTATTTTTTAAGAAAAGGAAATTTCCCAGTCAAATGGAACAGTTTTCACAAAAATTTTAATACGTAATGTTTCTTACAATCAAGAGGGCTCAGGGTTTACTACAYTCAATGAAAGGAAAGCCTAAAAGTTACTGCAAGTGTAATATATCATGGCCAGCCTTCCTTTTAGCAGTGTACCTTTTATATTTTTCTGTTAGAATTCTTTATGACCTTCTCAATTATATATACTATAAGCTACCTCTGCTTATCATTACATTTTAAGTATTTGCTGATATGAGGAATGTCATATTAAACTCTATTTTATTATAAGACATCATTTCTAGGGATAGACTTTGTTGCACCWGGAGCTTTAAGCCAGATCAGTTTTCATTTATCTTTACATCTTTTGAAGTATACATGTTAAAGCCATAGTGTTCTAATTTTTCATTTTGATCTGATTTTCACATTAATATGTTGATAATAACAGTATCTCACCAGAATATGAGTCAGGTCACTAGATATGAGGCAAGTAGAATTTGTGGGAGAGCATCCTAGCTTATTGCCCATATATAGCAGCACTCACATTTTTTACTTATTTCTGTTCTAAATGTTAACAAATGCATGTTACCAAAGCAA